AATAATAATAATCTTTTTTTTTTTAAGTCAGAGTCTCACTCTGTCGCTCAGCCTGGAGTGCAATGTCATGCCTACAGGCACCACTGCCTCGACCTGCTAGGCTCAGGTTTCCGCCTCAGCGCTCCAAGTAACTGGAACTAAAGGCACACACCACATGCCTGGCTAATTTTATTATTTATTGTAGGGATGAGGTCTCACCAAGTTGCCCAGGTTGGTCTCGAACCAGTGGCCTCAGGCAATCCTCTCACCTTGGCCTCCCAAAGTGCTGGAATTATAGGCGTGAGCCACCGCATGAGGCCTAAATAATCTTAATCTATCCACACCAAATGAAGGTTTACCAGTACCTGGCTTCCTAGGGATATTTACTTCCAGGACAGCTCCAAACTGAGCAAATACTGTTTTTAAGTCATCTTCTGAACACTGGAGCCAAAAAAGAAGAAAGAAAAAGAGAAATATTATCATAGCAAATTAACATGAAGCATCAACTAAGCTTGTTCACTAGGAAGAACCTGAATACTTTTACTCCTTTTTTCCTTCCAAAATTAGAACATCAAACATTTCTGAAAAGCCACCTTCCTTTGTATTTAACAGGCAAAAAAAGACAGACGTCAGAGAGCTTTTTCTCCCCTCCTTTTCTCAGGAATAGTTTCCCCAAAAAGGAAGGCTTCAGACTTAGTGTCCTCATTAAGTTCTTATTTTCACAGGCCCCGTTCTAAACTCAACAGGACCCAGGCTCATTCCCAGAAGGAATTAAGCCCCAGCACGCCCATCTTGGTAAGAAGTTCCACCATGAGCGCACTGTGGCTCTCTAACATCCTTCAGAACATGCAGTGTTTGTTTTTTTCTTTCACTTACCTTAAAGCTCAGGTTCCGAATAATTAATCTGGCTTTCTTATCTGCCACTTTGGCTTTTTTAGGCTTCAGCTCCTTCTTTGCAGTCTCTGAATTTTCTAAAAAATAAGAGGCAATGGAAAAATTCTGTGCTCCAAAATCACCCACTTCTAGGCCAGGACATCACAGAAAAAAGCTACTAGTGACAGACAGGTGGCATTTACCACAGGGTTAAATGTGGCAGTACCCAGTAAACACCAGATTTTCCAAATGGAGATGGGAAAAAAAAGGACTAAAATGAGTATCAAAATACTCTGGATGATTCTGGACATCAAAAAGAAATGCAGGAAGCCTTAAGTTCTGGAAACTTCCCCCCATGCCTCTCTCATCCATTTTCATAGTGCGCCTTCTTACCCTCAGGGAAAACTTATTTCTATTACTAGAAACTCACCATTTCCCCTCTTTTCCTTTGTCTTGTTCCTCAGTTTTTTCTTGGCAACAGTCACATTGATCTTGCTACCTTCAAAGGTGGTGATCTCCTTGAGGGCCCTCTGAACATCTTCCAGCATAGAAAAAGTGACATAGCCAAAGCCTCGACAGGCCTTACTCCCTGGAACAGTGCAAAAAGGGAAAGAGAGCCATGAAAAGGAGAAAGCATCAGAAGCCAAGAGCACTAGTGGAGCCTCAAGGCCTAAGCTAGCAGACAGACTGCCTGCTGTCTTATTATCGGCTTGCCAGAAGTCTCGGCAGGAAAAGAAACAAAGGTGGCATCAGTGGTCCATTCCCTACTTTGCTCCCAAACTGTTAGGTTTCCTCCTTGTCTAATCTGGTGTCTTTGCTGTTAGCTCCTCTTCTTCCCCCTTTCCTGCTCAAGAATACGAAGATCCATGATATACATTAGACCCTCAAAGAAGACTGAAACCTCAAAAAGAATGAAACATCATCACAGAAGGCAGGAAATGTAAGTTTGTGCTATGGCTTGAACGCATCCCACAAATTCCACATTCTGGAAACTCAGTCCTCAATGAGGCAGATTGAAAGGTGTGACCTTTAACGGGTGATTGGAGCATGAGGACTCAGACTACACGAATGGGCTAATCCACATCAGAACACTGCAAAGTAGGTAAATCAAATATGACCAACTTTTCTTTCCAATGAATAATTTCTGATGGAGGAAAGTGAATTGGTTGATGCCAGAGGGTGTTAGTAGCTGAATAAGCTCCTCCTTACCAACCCCAGGTTCTTCCACAGGACTACACAGAGAAGAATAGTAGGAACAAGCAGATGAAAAACTACAAGTATCAACTATAACCCCTTTGCCCTTTTTTGGTTTAACATTTTTGTATAGTAAAAGTTTAAGTAATTTATTGCATCAGAAAGGAAAAGGACAGACCAAAAAGTCTGCCTACTACCTGAAGAAGAATCAGAGCCCATGTGCTCTGTTCTCTGTCCACTACACTCAAGCCGGCTTCAGGAGACAAGACCTTTAACACGGGATGCTGATCTACATCAACTGGTTAAAGTTGATGCTGGACACCAGGAAAGCATACTGTGACATGGAGATAGGTTTCTTTCCTCTTGAACCCCTTCTCACAAAAGCCTAGCTCCTCACCTTTCAGAAAATAAGAGCAAAAAAACTCACAGCCCTCCCTGATCAGCCCAGCCAAAATTAAAGCAGCTGAATATAACACACTCACAATAAACACCATGTATTGTATGTCCGCACAAAGCACTCTCACATACATTTAGAATTCTCCGCAAGCCTGGGAGGTGATTCCCATTTTAAAGAGGTGAAGTGACATGCCACTTCTGCTGAAGGAGACTTCACATGCATTCCATCCCATCACTGAGTGTGTCAAACTCAGCACTGTACCTGGCAATCAGCTGACTCGCAATAGGCCTTACTGAAGCTTGACAAAAGGCTATTTTCATCATGCCCAAACTAGCTCGTATATGTGCGGCGCACAATAAACGGGGAGCGCTGTAGAAACGTAGGGGAATGCTTTGCCTTTCGGAACCGAACCCTATGGGCTCATCTAAAGCTGAGTCCGTTTGGAAAGACACTGAATTCCCAGTCCCTTCTGGGCGCAGATGAAGGGCGATGTGGCTCCCTGACGTTGGGGAAGGCGTCCTCGTCCCCATCCCGCTCCCAGGAATCCCCGGCCTTGGCCTCGGCGCCCCGCCCCCTACCTTTATCGGTCACCACGAAGCACTGCTTCACCGGCCCCACCTGGCTGAACAGCTCCTCCAGCTGCTCACTGCGGGCAGAGCGCGGGAGGCGGCCCACAAACAGGGTCAGGCCGGCCATGAGGCCGGGATATCCAAGACGCGTGAGGACAAACCAGACGGGCGCACGCGACTCAGCGTGCCAGCTTCGGCAGGAGGAACACACCAAGTTGCCCGAAGATTCCGGAAGTGCTCGTCGTTCAAAAGCGTCCGGAGGAGAACATGGTGGGGAACGGGAACAAATGTTCCGGAATAAATAATAATAAGAATGGCGCTCCGGGGCGGAGCTTCTTCAACGGGACTCCACCTCCAATCACAACACTGTCTTCGCTACTGCAGGGAAACTTGGCATCGACAACTCCTACCCTGCTTAAAATCTCACCTCCGGGAGATCTACCCCAAAATTCACCAGGATGGGCAGGAGAAGTCGTTTTTGCCTCAGGCCTAACCAAGGATCTGACATATAATGAGTGTTTAATAAATATTTTCTGAAATGTCTCCACACATTTCCAGATTACGTGCATAAACACAAACCAGAACACAAAGACATAGACACAAGTGTGCCACATCCATCATCTGAACTGTTCTCATATTCTAGGAGGATATTAGACATCTGTCACCCCAGGCTCACAAAGTATGACTACTAAAATACACATATTCCTAAAAGAACTAAAAATTGACCTTCCATACGATCCAGCAATCCCTCTCCTGGGTATAAACGTGGAGGGGGGAAAAATGACACCTGCACACGCATGTTATAGCCACAATAGTCGCAATAGCAAAAACATGGAATTGAAACATGCCAATCTAAAGTGGACTGGATAAGAAAATGTGGTACATGTACACGGTGGATTATTATGCAGCCATAAAGAAGAACAAAATCATGGACTTTGTAGCAAATTGGACAGAGTTGGAGACGGTCATACTTTGTGATCTATCACAGAAACAAAGAACTGAATACCACATGTTCTCACTCATAGTGGGACCTGAACATTAATCACGTTAACACAAGAGAGGGATCAGCAATTGTTAGGCACTGCCAGGGGAGAGAGGGAAAGAAGAAGGGGGAATGTAACAACACAAAGTGTACCTGGTCCCAAACCAGGGGAAGTGAGGACCAGTTGGAGGCTCAAACTTCATCTGCATGCAGCCTACTTGTGTAGTTAATCCTTACGTGCACCCACCATCTTTATAAGAAAAATTTTAAACAGTACACACACGGACACAGATCATACACAATTATTCTTTCAATGAATATTTACTGAGCTCCTTCTTACTGCACATTAGCCTGGGAGACAGAATAAGACCCTGTCTCAAGAAAACCCCCATTGAAAACAAACAAAAACAAAATAAAAGTAATGATTTTAAAATTTCCTTTTTTAAAAAAAATATTTTTTTAGCTAGGCATTCTGCAGGGTGCAACTGTCTTGCACACAGTTCAGGTCCTGAACCCCGTGAGTCAGGCATTAAGGATAAAATAGGTGAACTAAGGAAAGTCAGGATCTCCTCCCTCATGGAGAATACAGCCTAGTAGGGGAAACAGATACTTAACATGAAAAAAAAAACCTCACAATACATATGCACACTACAAGACCACATCAGGGCACACACAAAGAAAACACAACATACAGTTTATACACACAGACCTAGAACACAGGTCCTCTAGGAAACAGAAGATCTTCCCCTAGGTCAGTTCATCAGACAGACTCAAGGCTAAAATATCTCGCTTAGCCAGGAAGAGATCTGGTTGCTCCTGGATCCTGGAACACACAGAGTATTGCCATTTCACGGAGTTCAGGACCTGAACTGTGTGCAAGACAGTTGCACCCTGCAGAATGCCTAGCTAAAAAAAATATTTTTTTAAAAAAAGGAATTTTTAAAATCATTACTTTTATTTTGTTTTTGTTTGTTTGTTTTGAATGGGGGTTTTCTTGAGACAGGGTCTTATTCTGTCTCCCAGGCTAATGTGCAGTGACACAATCATGGCTCACTGTCTCAACCTCCTGGACTCAAACAATTCTCCTGCCTGGACTTCTCAAAGTGCTGAAATTACAGGTGTAAGTCACTGTTCCCAGCCCTTAATAATTACTTTTAAATGGTAGTAACATGGTAGGTAGAAAACTCAATGAGTATAAAAGGTACTATGGTGAAAATTTAGTTTCACAATCTCCTCAAGCCCTCTTCATTTTCAATACATTTTGGATGGATGGATGACCGATTGATGGTGATGTGCAAGGTGAGGGGGCTCTAAACATCAGATTTATTAAGCTCTAGCTCCAAGTAACATACACTTAAAAGAAAACAACACAGTTGTTTTAAAAAACATAACTCAGGAGAGGAAGCTTTGGAATACAAAACACACACACACGCACGCACACATATGCACAAAACATATTTATATTTAGTCAGGGTCTCACTCTGTCATCCAGGATAGAGTGTGGTGGCATGATCACAACAATCACGGCTCATAGCAGCCTCCTGGACTCAGGCAATCCTTTCACCTCAGCATCCTGAGGAGCTGAGACTACAGGCACATGCCACCACACTCAGGTAATTTTTTGTGGAGACAAGATTTCACTATGTTGCCCAGGTTGATCTCAAACTCCTGGGCTCAAGCAATCTGCCGGCCTTGGCCTCCCAAAGTGCTAGGATTACAGGTGTGAGTTGTTGTGCCAGCATGAAACAGATTTTTAGGCTATTGGGCTAATCCTGTTCAGGATGAAGAGAAATAAATAGACAAAGGAAATGGATTGCATCATCTGAACAAAGTTGGTTTGGGATTCCACATCTTCCCTCTTCTTTCTCTATTCCTCCTGCCTGCCTTTACCACCTTAGGAACTAAAATTTCATCCCCAAAGACTAAATTGCGAACTTTGGGGCCCCAGCTGTGGGGAGGCCTTCCCAGTCCTGGCCGCCGGATGCACAGGGAAAAGAGCCCTGAGAAGGTTGTTCTGACATCCCTTTGCAACACACTCTACACTTGCTAAGGACCCAAATCCTCCTTAAAGGACAAAACCAAACTGTGTTTCTATGCCCATCAGGGGGCAGCAGCTACCCACAGTGCAGGGTTCTGTGCCCCTCTGGGAAGACTACAGAGCAGCTGACCCTTTCTATTCTTCCTACAGTTCTGCTTCCCCAATCTGTCTCCCAGCCCCATGCCTTCCTATCCATTAATATCAGAGAGGGCACACGGTTCTTTAATCAGTAATATTTGCTCATCCATCTACCCACGACTTGTGCAGCATTCTTTATTAAATAGCAGGAGTCCTAGAACCCAGCAATGTGGCTTCCAGGAGAAATAAACTGCCTACCTCATCCTCATCCATCAATGTGCTGGAGCCCAGAAAGGAAGTAAGAGAGGCCTGGGCTGTTCTCAGTAAGTCTCTCCCAGGTCCCATCCCCGTGGCTCCACTCCCCCTCGCAAGCCAAACCTCCTTACAGTACAGAATGTTTCTTGTTCTCAGCACTTCTCACAATTGTAATTAATTACTTGTGCCATTGTGATTATGTATGCGATTAGTTGTTTAACGTCTGCCTTACCCCCTAAGACTTCAATTCCATAAATTCAGTTCTGGTGTCCATCTCATTTACCTCTCTATTCCCAGCACCTAGGACATTGTAAGCATTCAACAGATATTTTTTAAGAGATTGAATGAATGAATGAATGAAGGTGAGTTTGTCTTCCAGTCCCCGTAGTATCCAGATTGAACAGTGCATTAGGATCTACCTAGATTTCTTCTAGGAAAGGCATTCTGGGTGAGGAAAGAGACAAAGGGGAGGGTCATCTAAATGGAGTCCTGGCCTTTTTTATGAAGTCAAAGGGCTGAGGTCATTTTAGCTGAGGAAAATCAAAGTATTGGAGCCAGTGAACACCAAGTTATATTCCTTTATCCCATTCTCCCCTACCAGCTCCATTCGAAGTTTCCCTACAGAAAAGGGGTGTATGTGCATGAGTGTGTGGGTGTACATATGTGTGTGAGAGTGAGAGAGAGTGTGAGAGAGACTGAGACTGGTTGGGGTATCTGGGGCTCAGACTGCTCATTTGGGAAGTGTATACATAAACCCAAGGACCCTTGACGGAGAGAGTGAATGAGAGAGCAACTGACAAGGATTAGAGTAAGGAAGAGTCATAGAGCTGAGTGTGAGCAGAGTCAGATGAGAGGCAGATGGAAGGGTGAGTGAGGAAGAAAGGGAGCCATTTCTCAGAGCAGCAAGCACTCCTTGCCTCACACAAAGCAACTCCGAAGCTGGGCCCGCTACAGCCCCTACAACACCAGTGAGAAATGCCTGTAATTAGGAGGTTGGCAGTTCTCTGGGCCTCAGCCCAGAATGACGATGCAGCAAGAATTTCTGAGCCAAGTGGAGCCAGGTGATGGAAGAGACACAATCAAAACCATTCCAGTCCCACCCTCAGCGGCGCCTGTGCCACCTCCCTCCCATTTCTTGTCCCTGCTATGATTCTCACCCTTCCCTAAACATCACTGATTCCCTACTACCACCTGAGGTCCAGGCCCTGGACATTGCTCTCATCCGAGACAGATGTTCATCCCCAAGGAGTGCAGTGCTTGAATTCTTCCACTCATGCATTGGATCTGGCAGAGGGTCCCACTTTCCCGGCCTCTCTGCCCACTTCCTTTCTTCTTGGCCTCTTAACCTCCCTTCTCTCCTCCTGTTTTTCCACTTTGAGTCTAGTGTGTATGCCTCTGCAGGTCTCCCTGTGATGTGGAGGATGTCTGCCAAAACACCATCAGGTTTTCATTTTCAAACCTAATCCACAACCCTGCTTTTGTGCCACTCTGAACCACTGCATTTTAGCCAAATGACAAATGCATGCTACAGAGCTCAGAGCCAAGTGCTCCTGGCAAGCGAGTAACAGCAGCATGCTGGTGGCCGGATGTGCCCGTGGATCACTGCACTGTGAGTTCTGCTGTGGCTGCTGGCTGGGGCTGGAGAGGCTCTGTCTAGGGAGGATCTGCAACTATCTGTGGTGAGAGTGTTCCAGGAGAAGATGGGGAGCAGGGTTTGTTTGCCCAACCTTGAAGACACACTGTTGGCAGGGGAAGAAGGTATTTCTTCTTTGTGACTCCCAGTCTGTGGGAGCATGGCAGGGGGCTGCTGGGGACCCCAGCTTAAGGTGATTAGACCCTTTTACACGTGTCTCAACACTGCCATGTCTTGACCACTGAC